AATCACTCACTGAATAAATAAAGCAGCTGTGGTCACCAAATCAGTACATGGGGGGGGGGGCAGGAGACAGAATGTTTTCTGGGTTGTTTTACATGGGCCAAATCAACTTTAGCAAAAGCATCCAAAGATGCTGCTCTGGCAGACACGTGCATTCTCTGTCCCTCTGTGTGTGAGTAGGTTTGGGTCAGTGTGCAATCTCCAATTCTGACTTCTCCTGGAACAGCAGGAACACACTCAGCATTTCCTTTCCTTTGGTCAGTTCCTCTGCGAGCTCAAAGGTCCAGTCAAGCAGCAAGGCTGTTGATCAAAAACTAGAGCAACACAAAGGAATTTATGACCCAGCCAACCGGGTAACAGACTCAAAATCACGAGATACACGATGGCACCAAAACTACATAGTCTATGAAAATACATAAAGATAAGAACCTGAGCCCAGACAAGGGAAACCTGATTAATCAAAAAATGGTAAAAGACAATAAGAATTAGAATTTAACACAGAACACACATAACGTAAAAAGAAAATAAATACTGCAAGGTTTAAAATGATCAGGATGTAGGAAAGAAGGAAAGGATACAAGCAGTATAACAAATCCAAAGTCTAAAAACTGAAGGCATAGTTTGTGAAAACTTACACGAGGGTTTTTGTTTTCAAGGAGAGGAAATGTATGCAAACATTGAAATATCTAACAGAGTAACACTGTTTCAAACTCCCGATGTAAATTTGAATAAAACTGAAAGCAATGGCCAGTACACAATAGAAATGCTTTATTAATTTGCTATATTTTGATTTGGAGCGATAGCAATCCATCACCGTAACTGGTAATCTAGTGTTTTTTTCTGTTGTTTCACAGGATTTTCACAGGATATTTGACAGGGGTGATTTTCTGCAGGTACTTTTTAAGATATTATGCAGTGTAACTGTAGTAACTTTGGTCTGTCCAGTCTCCTCCAGTTGTTGTGGGCAGGGCTGGACAAAAGTGATGAGGAGGATCCTGATGACCCCAGAAGTACGTTGGTCAGCACTCCTCACCGGTCTATTAGGGATCCGGGGGTCCATTTACATGTGAATCCTGTATTAGACTTTCTGTCTTTACCTGTTGAATTTAGGACGTTATTCACAATTCTTCAGTAGCTTTATTGAACTGTGTCCATCATCCAACCTGCTGCTCATAAACCAGCAAACAGCCTCTCAACCTCCTCACTGAGTCCAAGGACTGCCACCGGGAACTGGAATAATCCGGTATAATAAACGAATAAATACATTTATTATCTTTACGTATCTAACAAAAAACTAAGCAAATTAGATTGAAAAAAACAAAAAGAATCTAATATAGTTTCTATGAGCAGCCTTTGGTATCTGTCTCCTCTAACAGGCTGTTCTCCAGATATGTGCCTGCCTCCCTGTCTGAAAAAAGTCCCATTGGCTTTTTAATAGTTGCGTTCACATTTTATGCACCCCACACATTATTTCCTGGAGCTTTTTTTCTGAACTCTGACCAACGGAAAGGGCTGTTCAAGGTAGCTATCCCGGGAAAATGAGCAGAACATGTGCACACATAGACTGGATACCAGGTCCAAAATGGAGCGATCCCGTTGATAGGCCTCTGCCGGGTCAACAGCAGGGAGATTTTATCGTCATTTTCACTATGGCTGTTTAAAATACTACTTGTGGTGTGTGCTCGTTACATGCTCATGCTGTGTGTGTATTGCTTGTCCATGAGTACCTGTCCGCAGGACTAAGTGTGCATGTTGTGTGTCTCTGTGTGGCACTGTGATGGGGGACATACACTGTGCTTAACTCGCCTGCCTGAAAGTAGGAAAACAACAACAATCATGGGCTGTTGTGCAGCTGAAATAGAAAT